GTCCTTGAGGGATGCCTCGAGCTCAGCAGCCTTGCTAGCTTCAGCTTTAGCATCAGCAAGCTCCTTCTCCAGAGCAGCAAACTTGTCGTCGCTTGATGATTGAGCAGCCTTGAGCGATTCGGCGTGCTCAGCTTCCTTGGCCTCCAGCTTGCTCGTGGTCTCCTTGAGAGATGCCTCAAGCTCCGCAATCTTGGCAGCAGACTCATCGGCACCACCCTTGGCGGAAGCCTCGAGCTCGCTAATCTTCTGCTTCGACGACTCTGAGTCCTTGGTAGCGGCCTCAAGTTCAGACTTGGCCGATGCGAGTTCCTTCTCAAGCTCAGAGACCTTGCCGACGTCAGCAGACTTGGCCTCGAGTTCAGACTCCTTTGCGGCGAGGCTCTCTTGAGCCGACTTGAGGGAAGCCTCCAGCTCCGAGATCTTGGAGGTAGAAGACTCAGTAGACTTGCTAGCGTCCGCCTTGGCGGCTTCCAACTCAGACTCCTTGGATGCAAGGCTGTCCTTGGCCTCCTTGAGAGAAGCCTCGAGTTCAGCAGCCTTGGAACCCTCGCTCTTCGCTGTCTCGAGCTCGGCCTTGTGGGCAGTGAGGTCGTCCTGTGCTTGCTTCAAGCTAGCCTCCAATTCCGAGATCTTCGAGCTGGAAGACTCAGTAGCCTTGGTGGTCTCGCCCTTGGCAGCCTCAAGTTCAGATTCCTTGGTTGACAGGCTCTCCTTGGCCTCCTTGAGCGATGCCTCGAGGTCAGCAATCTGTTTTTGAAGACCCTCAGCATCGCCCTTGGAAGACTCGACGGCCTTGCTAGCCTCCTCTTTCGCGGCAGCAACCTCTGATTCCTTAGCGGCCAAGCTGTCGTGGGCCTCCTTGAGCGAGGTCTCGAGTTCGGTAACCCTGGAGGTGGAAGCCTCTGAGGCCTTGCTGGACTCGTCCTTAGCAGCCTTCAACTCAGCCTCAAGCTTCTCAACGGTCTCGCGGAGCTCGGCAGCCTCCTTCTTGGCAGCGGTGGTTTGTTCATCGGATGAGCCCTTGGCGGACTCGATCTCAGCCTCAAGCTTGCTGACAGTGCTTTGGAGACCAGCGACCTCGTCCTTTGCGGAGCCAATGGCCTTGGATGCATCACCCTTGGCGGTCTCGAGCTCAGCGTCCTTGGCGGAGAGGCTATCTTGCGACTCCTTGAGGGATGCTTCGAGTTCGGAGATCTTGGAGGTGAGGCTGTCAACCTGGCCCTTGGCCTCTTCGGCAGCCTTGACGGCGGCGTCCTTCTCGGAAGCGAGGGAGGATGAAGCAGCCTCGAGCTCGGATGTCTTTGCTGAGAGGCTGTCTTGTGCCTCCTTCAATGACTGCTCAAGAGAGGAAACCTTTTGAGCAAGCTCATCGGAGTCACCCTTGGACAGATCGGCGGTCTTAAGCTTCTCCTGGAGTTCGCTGATCTCGGTCTTCAGGCCATCGACCTCGCCCTTGGACGATTCGGTGAGCGATGTGACTTGTTCAGTGGCCTCAGCGTGTTCCTTGGTCTTGGCGTCGAGCTCAGAAGCCTTCTGGTCAAGAGTATCCTTTGCTTCCTTGAGAGAAGCCTGGAGCTCCGCAATGGTGTTGCGAAGACCCTCAGCCTCCTCTTTCGATGCCTTGTCAGCATCAGCATCCTGGGTGCCGCGGGCAGCGAGCTCGTCGGAGAGCTTGCTGTGAGAAGCCTCGAGCTCGGTGTGCTTCGCCTTGAGCTCCTCCAGGTCGGAAAGCTGGGTCTTGAGAACGGCAACCTCAGCGGCGAGCTCCTCGACCTTGGTCTTGTGCGCGTCACGGTCAGCTGCGAGGGTGTCGAGCTCATCCTTGGCGACAGTCTGAGCCTTGAGCTCGTCAATCGTGGCAAGAGCCTCGGCGAGGTCCTTCTCAGTCTTGCTCTTCTCAGCAGTGAGCTCCTCCAATTGCGACTTGGCGCTGGCGAGATCAGCCTCCTTGGCCTCGACTTCCGACCTGTCAACCGACTCGGCGCCGGCAGACTGGTGGCTGTCGAGCATGCCCTTGAGCTTCTCAACCTCGTCCTTGTAGGAGGCGACCTGCTTCTCGAGGTCGGCAACCTTTGCGCGGAGCTCCTCAGCCTCCTTGTTGACGTCCGCCATCTTCTCATTGAACTCGGCCTCGCACTCGTCGCGCACAGTATTCCTCTCCTTGGCCTTGGCCTCGCGTACCTGCTGGACAACGACGCTGACCATGTGCTCCTCGAGGTCCTTCTTGTCCTGCTGCAGCGACGCCTCACGGGCCTCGAACTCCTTCTTGCGCTCCTCGTGGTCGCCCTCGAGACTGCGCACGTGCTCGTCTTGTGTAGCAGCGATGCGTTGTGCTTCGTCAAGCTCGTTCTCGGCGTGCTTGAGCTTCTTCTTCAGCTTCTCGATTTGCGTCTCGAAGCTGTCTGAGGCTGTTGGCGAAGGAGGTGAGGGCGAGTCTGCTGCTGAGGAAGGATGGGTCAGTATGTTGTGAGCGGGTAGGTGGTGCAGCGGAGACGCCCGCGAATGAAGGGAGAGCGGATAGTGAGGAGGGGCTGTCGATATTGTTATCGGGCAGGTGGGGGGTGAGTTCACGGTGAGCATCACGTACCTGCTTCATCTTCACTTAACCGTGTAGGCGCCTCGCGCGGTGTCTCTGGTGGGGTGTCCACGCCATTGTCCGTCTTACTCGACTCGACCACGCTCGGAGGTGTGGCGTCCGTTGTTACCGCTGGTGTAGCTGGTGAAGCTGTTGCGGGCACCGGTGCGGGTCCGCCGAAGAAATAGTTGTACGCCCTCTTCATGCTGCTGGTCCGCTTGGGGAGTCCTGGTCGCAGGGAACTCGTCGATTTTCGACCTCGACGTTCTTCTGGCTGGCTTTGCTCGCCAGTCGTCGGTACGGGTGCAAAGGGTTCTACGACTCCGCCTCTCTTATTATTGCTTATCGTTCGTGGTGGTAGCAGGCGTCTGCTAAACTTCTGAGATCCCGACTGGATATCAGCGAGGATCTGCTTCTGCTCTCTCGAAGAGGCTCTGGGATAAGACGTTAGTTGTCGTCTTTATAGGTAGTAAACAATGGCAACAAAGCATTTGATGTTTCGCATCTAGGCATATACGAGGAAGAAAAAAAATATTTAGGACATGCCGCACCACAACGTGGTATCGTGGCAGAGAGAGAGCTTCTTACCAAAAGCAACAACAAGAAAAGAGTTCGTGTATCGTAATGTCCTCAGACAGATGGAGCAGTGATGAGGGGTGGATGGAGGGGAGGCAGAGGGGAGGATGACGGGTAGCACTCACTCATAGCTTTCTTTCCTGCCCCAGCTCGGCATGATTCACGCTCTACTGCTATCAGTTCCCTCTGTTGAAAGCGCCACTGTTTCCCGCGCGAGCCAGTCCAATCAATGGGGAAGAAAATTTTGTTGCCCTTTCTGAATTTGGGCGGGCCGTCCAAGTCTCCTCACCGCACGGTAACGAAATGGAGCTTTACTTATGTACAAGCACAACAACACGTTGGATCCTGCATGCAAGCCTGGTGGATTGTCGGGCGCTAGACGTCCGCTACGAGGTATATACATTCTCGAGGGGAGGCACGAGCCAGTCATGTACTCTACTACTCACGTAGCACATTAGCATGGGCGAGGCTGGACAGGCATTAATGCAAGCACAACGCAGATGGATGTCGAGGCCGAGGGCACCAGGGCCCTTGTCCGAGCTCCCAAGCGGCTCCACCTTGCTTCTTACCGCCTCGACTAGGGTCTGCCAGGGCTTCCTCGACGCCTCCCAGCGTGCTGACTACCCAGCCCTGGGGGATGCTGATGATGAGGATGCCGTTGCTTTTGACAGGCAGTCATGACTTTGATGAGGTATCGCGACCTTTGTACTCGCCAACGTCCTCAACACACGTCGTCTCCACCTCATCAGCTGGCGAGACCCTGTACCAATCACAGCCATGCACGTCAGTACCACCACGTAGGTCGCGTCAAAAAACATGCCATGAGCTCCGGGGAACGGCATTTGAAGCTGTCATCGCGCGGCAAACTTCGATTCTAGGAAGTTGGGCGAGCAATCGATAAGCTGGCAGCCAGCACATCTTCGCTGATCGTAGCCGACGTCGTAGGGCTCGCGCACGGTCACGGTCATGGCGCGTCGACGTGTGACTGTGACTCGGCATGATGTTATGCGAACCCCAATGGCTTGCAGGTACACGGTCTTTCTTTTGCAAGACTTGTTTCGTCTCGTCAAACTCGAGGCAACCACTGAGGCACGACACCTTGCCCAACTCTGAGACAAGGACACTCTTGACGCGCGCTCGCGCGCGCAAACGTCATGCAGGGCTTTTCCTAATGGGCGGTCGAAGCGTTGATGCGTTGTTCGATCGGATCCGCTGAATTAATTCTTGCCCAGTCAATTCGACTCGCCAACCCTTCTCTCGGACCGTCAACTTTCCATCGTCAACCTCCGTCACCTCGCCGAAGCCGCCTTGAAATCCCGAAAGTGGCTGTGATCGTTGCTTTCCCCAACCTCTCCTCTTAGCCCCAACACAATCGCATCGCCTTGTCTCGCGCAGTCTCTTCACCGCAAAACCACTGCACCCCAGAACCTAGTCACTCACGGACTGGCCCTGCATAACCGCACCCCACCCGTTGACAAGGCGCCGCGCTAGCCAGGTCAGCACTCGCGTTCTTTGCTCCACCGCCTCTTCGCATCAACGTCGTATCGTGGCGCGTGAGTAGAGAAATCACGGCAGAAAAAGTCTTTCGGCTGCGTTGTCGAGGTGACACCGCCAGTGAGGGGTTGTTCGGGCTGGCATGTGATTGTCAAGTGGCGATGGCATTGGAGGCATGGCTGATCTTGGACAGGAACGATGCTAGAATGTTCCCGGATCCTTTAGGCTGTGCAAGCAACTCGTGATATAATGATATTGGTGCTCTTTAACTATGGAAACTCCCATCCGTGGATGTATACTCCGGGCCTCTAACGCCGTGACTATGCTGAGATTCTGATGTCTAAGGAATGATAAGGAAGACTTTGTACAGCACCCACTGAGCAAACACGCGGGGAAGGAAAGACAACGACACCCACCGCTAAACCAATGTACCGACGCCAACGCAATTCAAGCGGACCGTTGTCGCCTGATTACCGAACGACCAGATCGCCGCGAGTGTCTTCGCGTGGAAGGCCCGCCTGCATGGGCAGTGCCCTCTGCAGACGTGGTCTGTGGAGAAGACTCGCTTGGGCTCTCAAGACCAGAGGCAGACCGGCGAGTGTCCGTTCCTGTTCGTAGAGGCCGTGGGCTAAGAAAGGAGGATACACGACGTGCCCCTTCGGTACTGGCTCTGCCGCTGAGGAAAATCTCTGGTGATTGAGTCTCGGCCGATTCTGATCGAGAAGCAAGTTCACGACTAACACGTCTCGCCTCTCGTAATACCTCTCTACTTCTCCTGAATCGGTCACGCCCTAGCCATGTATATGGAGATTAGCTTGATATAACCGACATAAGGGTATCATCCCTATTGCGGAGATCCAAACAGACCCCTGCGTATTCGATCACTGATACCACCATTACCCGGGCCTGCATTTGCGTTATCAGACGAGCTGCCCTGATCGTTGGACGGTGGGGGTGGAGATCCTGCAGGAACGACGTAGGGATCATTGAACGTTCCCGAGCCGGAAGGAGTGAAGGAGCCGGGCATCTGGGACGTACGATCCGTCTGTGAGTCTGCAGACGCAGGGTTGTTCGTCTGGCCCTCGCCACCCTTGGTGATACCCTTTCGACAATGAGGACAGGTGTCGTGCTCGAGCAGCCACGCGGATACACATGGGTGGTGGAACCAATGCTTGCATGGCAGTAGCGTGACCTGTTCGCCGATGTTGACCTCATCCATGCATATACTGCATTCAGCCTTGTGTTCTTCGCCTAGCATCTCTTCGGTCACATTAGTACGAGGAAGGGCATCGATATCGGCCTGCGTTGCAGGTCCAGGCGCGTTGCTGGTTGAAGTTTGTTCCATCAGTTGAGAAACAATGCGGTCTAGGCCCTCTTGAGAGTAGACAAAATCTCCCATGTTACTAGCAGGGCCCATCATGCCCATTGAGGAGAATAGTTGTAGGATAGGGTGTCCCGCGAACTGTTCGCCAGCACCATGAGTGTGTTCGCCACGGAAAGTACCCTCGGCGCCGCCCAAGGGATGGTTGTGAGCTTGGACGCGAGGAGGTGGTGCACCAAAGGTAGCCAGGAGACCAGTCAGGACACTGTATACTGTCAGCGGCTACAGACCAGGGTGGTCCGCTCTTACTTACTTGGTGATCTCGTCCACAGGCTCAGCCCGTCCGGGGTTGTTTCCTCCTCCAGGGAACAGACGAGCACCACCGTGATATGTAAAGGTCCCTCCGCGGATTTGAGGTCCACCACCTGGACCCTGGTTTTGAGCTTCCTGGAAAGCAGACTGGTTCGGGTTGAACCCTGGTGCGGCGCCAGAGAACAGACCCTCGCCCTGACCCTGTGCTTGACCCTGTGGTGGGCGTAATCCCGCTCCGGTGAGCCCGTTCAGCATGGCCATAAATCCGCCTATAGACCCTGGGACCGGCATGCCGCCCTGTGGTGATACAGAGCGCGTGACGGTAGCCTGCAAGTTGTACCTTCCCGGTCCCGTCTCTGTCCATCTAACATTGCTAATATCCCCCTCCTCTGGGTCGTCGGTCTGCCATGGGTTGTGATGCGGATTCATGTGGGGTGGAGCGTTCTCGAGGTCAGGCAGAGAGTCGGATTCGTCGCCGTCGTGACCAAACATTCCGGTGCCGGCCCTTGGGTCATTGTTATCTTCAATCTGATCAGTGTTAGCGGAAATCGGTGCATATTCGCTTCATCTCGTGTCGAGCGAGCTAGAAGCTGATTTCCGCAGCTGAACTCACAATCTCCGTGAAATCTGAGCCGCATTCTGGACACGAAAGACCGTGTTCGTCCCGATACCATTCGTCGGCGCACTCGTGGCAAAACATCATGTCGCGATGCCCGGGTCGTTGGTTCTGTGACGGCGCATTCTGATTGCTGGACTGGTCCATAGTCGCGGGCCTGAGAGGGATATGATGGGACGTAGGGTAGTAGGATAAGATGGAATGAGGCTGAGAGGGATAAGTCAGCCGGAAGTGACGTTCGAGTAACGGGTACAAACTCACGGCCTTGTGTCGGAAGTAGGCGCGGAAGAGGACCAACTCAATCACTTATCATGCGCTATTACCAGTCCAAGCAGTGACGTGGTGGCGGGCTGCAACAGCAGACAGGTACTGGGTCAAGTAGCGGAATGCGGAGACACCTGAAGGGGGGTAGTTTGGCGTAGCAGAAGCTCTAAAGCAAGGCCTGCGGTAAAGTAATCGACGTTTGGCGCGAAAGTTGTCAGGCCGGAATGACGTTATTCGATGAGCAGGGGTAGTGGGGTCCAGCAATTCGTCCCGCGGTATCTTAAGATGGAGGGAGCTAATTCAGCACCTTGCCTTTTGGGGTCAATAATTTATGGGAATGGAAGTGGTAGAGAGACGGAGGCAAAGTCCTCTGTGTGTCTTATTGAACGTGGTAGCAGTTGATTGTCTTGCTCTGACTCTACGTTTGTTCGACTTGTTGTCTCTTCCCGCTTCTTCCATGTTCCATCTAGTTCTGAAGCCTTCTATCAGCCAAAGATCACCCAACACAGAGTATACAGCATGCGGTGCGAGTCTGGCGCGATCGCTTGCATGGTAGGAGAGCTTTGTATATACAGATATCAATAATTGCCATAAATTATAGCATCCCAGGCAAAGGTATAGAAAACCGCCAAACGCCTATGCATGTACTCATCAACACGATTGCGGACCTGGCCTGACCAATGGTCCAAACGACATTGCGCGTGTCATAGACTTGCGAGGACGATGCCCGTTCAGTTCCTTCGGGGGCCGCCCCTCAGCAAAAGGCTTCCCACAACCCCCGCAGCGACCACGATTCCTCCCACAATGGCGGCGCCCACTAGCCCCTCCTTTGCGACCTTCTCGTCAATAAGTCCCTTCAAACTTCCGGCCTGGAGGTTTGCGGGCTCCAACTCTAGCAGCAGCTCGTTGTACCGTCGAGCTTCAGCATAGTTGCCGAGCTTGTAGTTGCCTAGGGCGAGGTAGTAGAGGCATTCGCGCCGGCGCTCGCGCGAGTTGCGGAAGATCTCAGAGAGGAGGCGCACTCCCTCCTGTTGGTCGGGACGTGAGGAGGATTTGATCAGACCCTAGAATGCTATGAGCTTGTTTGTTGCGGGAGGTGCCGTGCGCATGTGAAGATATCACCAGACGCGGGGAAGCCGTACCCATGCGTAGTTGAACTTTGTCTGGAGCCCAACATATTCGCCCTCTTTCTCGTACTGCGCGCGCAGAACCTGTAGTTCCTCTGGCTTCAGCGGCGACTCAACATCGGCGGCATCTAGAGGGTATAAGCGTTCGTCGGCCCAAAAGTCGTTGTCCCACTCACATGGTAATGACGGCGGCATAGCGGCGGTTTATGTTGCGCAAGAAAATTAAGGAGCTGTGTCTGCTAAGGAGGCGATGACTGCGTGCTGGTATCGTGGGGATGGCTTTTAGTGCAAGTGGTAAGCGTCAAACTACCGGCTGTCTCGTGAAAGCTCCTGCTGCAGGCCGAGCAGGCGATCTTTTACCGTGACGTACGCCTCGTGGCTACCGGCGCTTACGCCACGCTACGCCTGCGCCTTCCGCCACTTGATCGCGGTTGCCATGCACGCGACCCAGCACGGGCCATACAAACAAGAACATCAACACCATGGGGCAGTCGCGATAAACGTCTCCATGTACTAGACCAGACGAATTCGCGCAAACATCCGATAACACTACAAACAATCACACTACATTTACACACATTCTGCGACACAAAATCCAATATGCTTCTCGACGAAGATCCCGCTGCCGTATGCACCTTTTCCACGCTCCTATAAACCAAACTCTCCTGACACTATCCAGCTCATCGCACAATGCACGTCGCACTTCAAAATCGCCAATGACAAAACGTCGCTTCATCGCATAAACGAATCCCTCAGCACACTCAGCGAATTTCGCACCCAACACCTTCGTTCCATCCAATCCTCCCTTAGCGCGCTGAACAGAACACACCAAACACTCTCCGCGAACCATAACCACACGCTCAGCCAACACAACCCAACAAACCATGCTGCAGAAATCTTGAGGTTAGATACCGAAAAGTTCAAGATCGCGAAGCAGGCGAGTGACCTGGAGATTGAGGGCGAGAGGCTGCAGAGCGATCTGGCAAGATTAGGGGGTGTAGCTGGCGAATTGGAAGAGGAGGGCGTAGAAGGCGGCGTTGAACCTAGAGCGGGTGAGGATGCGACAGTGTAAGTTGAATCTTCCATGTGTAAGGAGGCTCAAATATTGACAAGAATTTTAGATTGAAGCTCAAGCTCTACCGCACCCTCGGCATCGACGTCGAGGCCGACCCTACGACCGGCGAGTACAACAAGGCTGTCATTCGCAATGCCACCAAGGGCGACGTACATGTCGTAAACATCGATCCCAAGTTCTCGCGGCACTTCTACACAAACTACTTCTGGCGAACAATGTAAACCGAGAGCAGGATTTATCCCTAGACTGGATGTAGGCATAGACGCCAGCATGCAAATCAGGGGAAATGAGGGAAGGAAGAAGTTACTGTTCGCCTTCAGGCATGGGCGTTTGGTTATGATTTGCTTTCTGAGATACCTCTGGGATTTTGGCGTTCTTGGGTGTATATTACATACGAAAGTCACGTCACATACTCTTGAACGATCAAGATGAATGATAGCAGAAACTAGCTGATCGAGTCATCTTCACAGCTGCAGTCGAAAAGACCCCCGTGTCATCTGGATCTATGGATTCGAGCCGCGATGCCCGAGAGAATGCAATTGGTTTACAGCCGCGCAGTACGTATGCGCCTCGTCGCGTTAGCGTACATGCTGCCCTGCACCACCTTTGTCAGCATCCTGGCAGCCTGATTGACAGACCAAGCAGTGCGCAGTCTTTGAGATTCTTCTACAAACTTTCTGATCATACACTTCTACTGTCTCATCTAATCTGGGCCTATTGCGGGATACAGCTGGAAGGAAGATCTCGCGATCTCGAGGAGCGGACATGGGCATCATGGAACAACCTCCCGATCGTACATATTCCCATGCGGAATCCGGATCTCCTGGTGGAAACTCGAAGGCTTCTAACGAAATAGTTGAAACTGAGGTCATGCGGGCAAAACTTCGACGCACATACGCCGACTATAGGAGAATTTATCCCCAGGGTAACTTGTGCCAACGTTGTGCTGGTATAAACTGGACAAATCTTCTCTCTAATTATAACGACGAATGGAATCTTTTGGACTTATTCAGCGTCCCCGAAACAATTCAGGAACTCTCTGCGTCGCCATGTCCGCTGTGTCGACTAATGAGCTCCGATCAAATGTTCGGAAATGGAACCCTCAGCGTATACGATGCCTACAATGACGTGCTATATCTCGAGCATCACGATGAGCATAGCTGGAATCGGTATGCCCTATGTCTAGAACTACGTTCTGGCGATTTGCATCGGAAATACATCCTACAAAACGTCTGTACTAGTACTCAGTTTTACCTGCTTCGCAAACTTGACTCTGAAGTTATCGACTACGAGATACTTCGACATTGGCTCAGGTACTGCAAGTTCCATCATACAAAGTGTACTCAAACCTACGATTCTATTATTCCTGGCCTCAGAGTCATCGACTGCACAACCGAAACAGTCGTCTATGCACCTGAGGATGCCACTTTCCATTACGTAGCCTTGTCTTACGTTTGGGGTGGTACCAAAAGCTCCGGAAAAGACCAAGACGAGTTCCCGGCAACGATACGCGATGCCATCACCGTCACGATACGACTGGGATATAGATACCTGTGGGTCGATCAATACGTATGTGACCTTACCTTGCTCAAAGCATGTAGAGCCAACTAACCACAAGTACAGTGTATCAACGAGTCATCTGAGGGATACAAACAAGCTCAGATACAACTCATGGGCCGTATTTACGCCGAGGCAGAGCTAGTCATCATCGCTGCAGCCGGCAGCTCGTCCAGCTACGGACTGCCCGGTGTTGGTGTCAAAGCTCGAGAAGCACAGGGGAGAGTTCGACTAGAAAACAATGTTGAGCTGATCGAGATGAACGAACCGGATCGTGAGCTAGACATGAGTGCATGGGCGCAAAGAGGCTGGACTCACCAGGAGGGCTATCTTGCGACGCGAAGCCTCGTCTTCACAGACAAAGAAGTTTTATACGTATGCAACCAAGGAGCATGGCAAGAGTCTGTGCAGCGTCCTGCCATGGAGGACGACGGTCAATGTTGGGTGATGGCGAACGCTTGTTTCCATATCAGGGCTCTACCTCCATACAACAGTCACGCGCCAGTCTATTTTTTTCTCGATAACTACTCGGGCAGAAAGCTGTCCTACGATAGCGACATCCTCAACGCCTGCATTGGTGTGTTGAACAAATTCGTGGGCCACCATCATTTCTGGGGCATGGTAACCCCACGCCTAGATCCTGAACGATGTCTTCCGCTCTGTCTGGAGTGGCGTAGCCGAATTCCGGGCACAAGAAGAGAAGCCTTTCCATCTTGGTCATGGGTAGCGACAGCCAGTCCAAAAATGATCCCTTCATGCGGTTGGGGAGATCACAATGAAGGCTACGTTGCGCACATACGCACAAACGATGGACGCTGGTTGTCCCCAGAGGAGCAGACTGAAAGTCGATGTGATCCTTTGCCCATGAATTTTGGCCCTACTCTACGTCTTCAAGCTATGCTCTACACAGCTCTCTTGAGCACGAACACAATGTATGGAGCACCAGACAGTCGACCAGTTGTCATTTTCCAGGCCACTGATGGGGATGGCAGTGAATTCGAAGTTGTTTTCAAGCTGTGGCTTGACACTGAACTCATAGAATCAGACTTGAAGAACACTGTCAAAGCAATACTGGTCTCTGGCAGCACTAGAGAAGACAGGGATATAGAATCGTATTCACTTGGTCCCGCTTTCATGATCCTCCAAGCAGTAGGACATCATTATAAGAGGATCGGCATCACAGGCTATGAGTATCGCTGCTGGATCCTAGAAAAGAGAACAAGGAAGGTGAGGATGAAAGACGATAATGATATATTGTCGTATGAGATCTGTAGAGGTATTGAGGAAACCGTCTATATCGAGTAAGGTTCTTTCACACATAGAAATCTGTATCAACGTGGAAGACTGGATGGCTTAAGCAAAATAACATAACATTATATACCCCCCGATGCATGGCCTCATCATGATTAGTTGTTTGGCGTCTCAAAGCCGTTGGTAAGCAATTCAAATGCAGTCCATACCACGCGACTACACGCCGGCCTTGCTTACAGTGTCTTCCTCCAAGTATAGCTCACATTTAGATCCAATGGTGGATGGAGAAAGAGTAATTCCCTAAGCCAAGCCTTACATTTGTAGCAGCATCAAAACTCCAGCAGCTTAGACCGGCCAATCTTCACACACGTTATCGCGCAGTTCTGCCTGTGTTGGGCTCATCCGCGCCGCATATAGTGTTAGTTGGGTGAAGGATCTCACGACTTCCTAATCCGGACATTCAACCGAGTATTATGAAGTGCTGTGCCTCAATATAATCACTTAGCTGCAGAACTCACTACCAGAATCCCGTTAGCTTTCATAAAGAAGGCATAGACCACTTCAACTTCCATGCAATGTTTGCTCAATAGGGAAGCCTGAGGCACGGTCGCCGCTTAAATCACTCGTGATACCTAGTGTTTGCCTAGCGTGATATGTATGGTTGCCTCGATTGAACGATTGTTAACAATTTGCGCCGCCGGATACCCCTTGGACTTCTCATTTCATTACGGCCGTACAAGCGCGCTTCAAATCGAACTACGTCTTACGCCCGCTCAATGCTCACATTCTCAATATATTAACATCCGTGTTACCCCCGAAGTATTACCACGCTCTTAACTACCTTCCTAAGTCTCAACCCCTTCTCTAATAAAGCGCATTATCAGCCAAGAAGCACCTGCAACATGCAATTCTTCCTCCCGGTCCTCGCTCTTCTGAGCACCCTTGCCAGCGCTGCACCAGTCGTATGTGAATTCCTCTTCCTATCAATTCTCCCTTCAAGAACTTTTCTAACGTGTCGCAGGTCGAATTGCAAACTAGACAAAGCGGCGCTGGTGGTATCATCTTCAAAGATCAAAACTTCAAGGGCGAATCTACTTTCATCCCCGGTAACTCGTATTGTACCGACGTAAACAACATCTTCGGCAACTTCGATGGCAAAGTGCGCAGTATCAAGTCGCTGCTGGGTTACCAGTGCCAGTGGTACATGTAAGTCTCTCTCCTGGAATTAGTTTGTTCCAAACTAACATCCAGTAGCGGCTACGGCTGCCCTGCCAACGGTGTCAAGCTCGACTGTGGCAGCAAGGATGCGTACGTGAGCAAGGGAGACCTGAGCCCAACCTTCGACAGGAAGATTCACAGCGTGTTTTGCACACCTAAGAAATAGTTCTCGTACGGTGTTCAAAAATGTGCTTTTGAGTACTCCGACGACCGTAAAAAGGGCGTGGCGGCGTCAGGTCTTTGACATGGATTGCGACCCTGGCCTATCGACTCGCACCAGCCTCTGGTCAGTTGTGTCGGTTCTCTTACCCGATATAAGAGGTATGAAATTTTAATAGTAATTTTATAATTACCAATCTAAACCTTTTGAAGTAGTGAGAGATCTTCCGATTCTGCAGTCGTGCAGCATAGGTAGGCGTCTAGACCTGGTGACCAACAATCGCCTCAGACCGGACATGAAGAGTTGGGCGTAATGGCATGACCGCCCGTTGGGGTTGCATAGCTGTTGGTGTGAGAAGGGATGAGCATGCAGGAAAATGGGGACAAGACGGGTGGACGGGCGGGTGAGACCGCCGCTGTTGTTGGCACTAACCCTGAATGAAGCGACCCACCCACCCCACTGCAATCCATACAGTCGTTCGCTCTCCGTCAAGTGCCATCCTCATTCATCACCACGCCGCACTGCCATTCCGAACACTTCTTTACACGAGAAGACACGCTGCCTGCACTGTCGCGATACCCGGAAACCGAGGCCCCGCTTCTTCATTGTACTACCACTGCACCTCGAGTACGATTTGCCAGTCTCAATCCACGTCAGCACGTCTAGTGTTTGGGAGGTTGCATACGAAAAAGCTATCACTCAGGATAATATGTTAGGTGATGTGTCTCATGGATTGGACTCAGATTGGTAGCTCACTGTGTGGTGCACCGTACTTTCGTCGTCGTTTGGGGCCCCGCGCCTTTCATCGGCGTTTGTGGCTGCGTACTCATCCAACAACGCCAGCTCATGTTTACTCAGCATTGCGCTGATCAAGCTTCCTCACTAATTGCAGTCAGACGTCTGGCTCGCATACAGTTACCGAAACGCACTGTTGAGCTGTTCGACGACATGATTATACCGGATGCTACACGCAACTTTGGCAGGCGGTTGGAATCAAGATCAAGAACCACGAAGATGAATTGCCCCTTTTCTATCGAACCATGTCTCTTCAAATCGATTCTCTTTCACTCTCGCTTGGTGACAGTCCGTGAATGATCTGGTAGGTGCTCGTTCGGAATAGATCCACATGCTTCAACTTGGACTCATCATAGAACGCCATTGCAACAGAATCATGGCTTTTTGCACGTACGCAGACCTTTTACGCCCGATTCAACCTCTTCCCAAATAATGCGCGCAAGTTTCAGAAAGTAAGAGCCGGTCTCAGAAATGGTTGTTCTTCTGCAATATTACGAACCACTCTTCGACAAATCCAGAACACCAAGTCTAAGAACGAAGAACTGGAGGATCTGCGGGCTGTCACTCGAAATCAAGCACCAGAGGAGACCAGAAGTGTCTAAGATCGGTCTAGTTGAGCGTATGAAGTGCGGCACAGCAAGGTGTACATCTAGTCGTGTTTCAAATCCTTCGGGCCTCATTATCGACCTCGCTGACCGCGACCGCCAGATTCATCCGTCTTATCTGGCCCTTATCCTATCACATTTCTTGATTTGTTTTGGAGTGCTATCTGGCCTATCATCACAGGTAGCAATGGCGGAGGAATGGTTCATCGACCAGCAACCACAAGACAGCGCCCCAAGCCTGCATACAGATCCTATGATGTAGTCATTTCTCGTCGCGCAGTACGGCAGGAGCCATACGGGACAGGACGGGCGCCTGATCGCTTGTTATGGAGACCATAAAGAGACTGTCCACGTCCCCGGGCCTACTATGTCAGCTTGGTCCTCTCCAAACGTACCAACAGATTTTATAGTCCCGATTTAGCTTGTGTGCTCTGTATCACAGGCCATATCACAGACATTCCACCATGAAGTCCTTCACAGCGCATTCTTGGCTTGAGTTCTGGTTTTACGGGCTTTATCCTGCACTTATGGTCGCACTGACATGCATCGGTGTCTTGGCCACGTTAGCTTTATGGCCCTTCCATATGAAGTCCACAACACAGCTTTGTGAAAGATGCAAGTCAGTAGATGATAGTCCTTGACTGTGTTGTATGCTAAGCAAGTCATAGGCAAAGAGAGAAGAGCGATGATTCGGAACGAGTGTCTACAAGCGCGACTTTTACCACCTCAGATGCTCGACTTCATCCACATCAGAAGGTCTTCGAACCAGAACCGAGTAGGTCTCAACACCCTGCTTTTCGATACTCGTTCATACCGCCGTCGCCTTTTGGAGCCGGAACCCCAATTCGAGTGCCCTCATTCCGCACATCGTCGCCATGCCAGCCCGATGGAACGCCTGTACGCGTTCGCTCGCTACGACATTTCCTACTTCCACCACCTCTCAGCCGCCATCGTGCAGATGGAGAGCAGGGTTCTGATGGCGCCCGGACACCTGATAAAACGCCGAGTGTCAGTAGACGGCTAAGTGCTGTTGCGGAGGATATGGTAGATGCTATTATGGTTTAATTTGATCGGCAAAGGTGAAGCAACTATTGGGCGCTAAAGCACATACAAAGTTACGTCATAGCCGATTCGGTATCAATCTAGAAGCATTACAATCCACACTACGATGAGATGAACAATGTCAGAAGGCCTTGCATGTTTAAGACGAAGTCATGTAACTACTCGGAATCAAACATGGTGCATTGACACGCGACTGACGAGCCACTTTTCCGATGGTGAGCTATGGAGGTTTCCGACTTCGGCATGAATGTCCACTTCAGGATGGCAGATCCCCCGCCAAGGCCTACCGATGCTACCCGAAATCTCGCATCTGAGGAATCCATTTCTTGAAGCTTGAACTTCGTCATTCCGACAACACGACCACATGGCTGCCCCAAGATTGCCATTCCTATGGCCTATGCTGTTCCAGCCGGCGAAATCGCCACGCGTGCGCGCTTCGATAGCAAAGGAGAATGCGTCACGCACGCGACGAGCACGTCGTCATCTCACGACTTCATCACGCCGGCCGGAGCAGTCGATCCCGCAGCGATACGGAAAGGCATATGAACATACAGCTCCAGCATTAGAACAAGAGCCGCCGAAGGAACCTCAGCAAAAAGACCTAGCGACCACGGAGAAACCCCCACAAGACCCCGTTCACGAGCAAGAAGAAGTAGAGGAAGATGCGCCAACAGCAACTACCAGTCCATCCACGCCCAGCAAGACCAGCGCGACTGAGGAGATTGAGCCGCTCAAGACTCCAGCGCCTGATCCTCCAAAGACGGGCGATCCAAAACCCCTCGATAGCGTCCTCCACATACCCACCGCCGCGGAAGAAGAGTCTCACAAGGCACCGCACTTGAAGACGCCACCATATGTCCACCATTTTGACACCTATGGTCTCGTCCGCAAACTCTCGCAATCTTCATACACCCCCGAACAATCCATTACCATCATGAAAGCTGTGCGACAAACGCTATTGGATAACATGGCTTTGGCGCGCGAAGGTCTTGTTAGCAAGAGTAACGTGGAGAATGACACGTATCTTTTCCGCGCGGCATGCAGTGAATTGAAGACCGAAATTGGAAATGCGAGGAAAGGAGAGATGGAGAGGATGCGCACGGAGAGGGGACAATTGCAACACGAGGTCGATATCCTGGGGCAGAGGCTGGGACAGGAGACAGGTGGGCTGAGAGACGAGCTTAAGGGGCTTTTTGACGACAGGAAAATGGCCGTTCGACAGGAACAGAGACACATGGAAACAAAGGTATGGCATTTCTTGCCCTGGCTTGCGCAACACACGTGTACTGACATTCTGCTAGATCCAAGAACTCAACTACAAGATCACAGTTGCCCTCAACTCTGATGCGCGCTCCGAGGTCGAGGGTCTCCGATGGGTGCTTACTCGCCGCGCGGCCATTACAGTCGGTGTCAGTGCGTTTATGCTCTTCGTTGCGCTACGCTATACAAGTTATGTGCAACACCAGCTGCAGGAGGAGAAGAGGAGGAATCCACCGCCTCATCGACCCAGTCCGTTGGAGGATTTGGCGGACCACACGTCCACAGCGAGTAGACCGGTTGTAGATATTGCGAGCCCAACTCAGCAGGATGCCCTTGGTGGTGAGCTTTTGGCTACCGAGGGCGTGTCATTGGGTTGAGCACCAGCAAATAACAAGACATTTGGGTGCAAATGAACATGAGGCAGATGAGCCTGCATATATTCCATCTCTCAGCGAACCCGCGTGAACAAACCCCTACAGCTTATGCTTCTTCTCTCCACTCGCGAGTCTCGCAAACTCCTTCTGTGGCACGCCCTTCAAAAACCTCTGCAACCCACCCATAACCTCTTCCACACCCTGGCGATCCAACGCCTCCCTCATTGGTTTCTGAATCAACTCCTTGATCAACACCAAACTCTCGCTGTTGAGATGATCGCCCAGTCTCTCCTCAACCTCCTTCCTGACCTCGCCCAGAAACTTCTCACTGTATTGTTCGCTCTTGACATCAACTCCAGCTTCAATGACTTTGTTCACGAATCCCGTAGCTACTAGCTCATCGCATGTAATACGTTTTGACATGATGAGCGCCTCGTTCGCTTTTGAAATGCCGAGGCGTCGGACGAAGCCTATGCTTGCATTTCCTTCTGCTACGAGACCGAGGGAGGAGAAGGGCGTGAGGAGGAAGGTGTGTGGTGCAGCGTAGATGAAATCCGAGAACGCGATCAACGCAGCGCTGAGACCGACAGCTGGGCCGTTTAGGGCTGTGATGAGGATCTTGGGATGCGTGTAGAATGCATGTGTTATGTGTAGGTTGTTGGACACAAAGGACTTTAGGTACTGGTGTCTTTCGTCGATGGCACTGTCGTCGGTTTTGGAGCCAAAGGTTACGTCTGCGCCGGCGCTGAAGAAACGTCCCTTGCCTGTTAGGATGGTGATGTAGATGTCATCTCTGGCTGCGACTTCGTTCATGGCGCGTGCGAGCTGGTAGTATTCATCGGCACCCAGAGCGTTTAGTTTCTTGGGTACATTGAGAGTTATTATGGCGGTTTTGCCGTGGTAGGTCGTTAGGATGGGTTGGTCAGACATGTTGGGTGAGTGTTTGCTGTACAAGTGGTTGTGGTGTTGAGGTCTGGAATGGATGAGACGGAATAGAGCTCAAGATATTGTGCACGTCTGTAGGAGTCTTGGGGAGATTCTTAGGGAGATTCTTAGGTGAGATGTCATTGAACCGAGGCTAGAATGCGGAGACGGAATGAGCATTGTGAGCGCAACCGAACGCGACAGAGTGAGGTAGGTAGATGAGGAGAATGTGCGCATTATTATGATACGTTTGGAAGCTTTGAGTCTATTGCTGTGGAGAGTAGGAAATATCGCGCAAAAATTACACGCTTGGAGCGGAGAACGCATGTGAAGGACGCGGCTTCCCCAGCTTCGACGTGGGGAAACTGACGCGCTGGCTGAGGCTGGAGATTAGATCTATATAAGCTAATCGCCGAACCATCACCGACCAGATCTGTGCATCTTCGACTCCATCATCACTCCACTTGTGCGCCAAAGTTTCGAGCCGCGCCGCAAGTCGCAAACTACCCCAACCACAAACCGCAAAGATGGGTGGCCCTAATCTAGAAGTATTCAAGGTACGTACAACCCCCAGAAAACTCTGCGCAACATAATGGAAAGCGCCCACCACATAAGAGTCCCATTCGACTCATCATATTCCGATCAAAACCGAACCTGGACCCCTCTCGTGCGCGTAACTAACCAGACCTACCAGTTCGGAATGTACATTCTCTTCCCAATCAGCATCATGTACTACTTCGGCACAAATCTCGACGGCAAATTCACGGTCCCCGATTTCTGGCCCAAGCCAGGCCAGACGCACAAGATACCGTACGATAGGGATGAGATTGCAAAGGAGTTGGAGAGGTTGAAGCAGAGGAATCTGGAGAACAAGAGGAGAAGGGAGGAGCAGGAGAGGCTGAGGGAGCTGGGTACTGGAAGGGAGGAGTAGACATGGGGACTGGGCCGACGAAAGGCACCGAATGACAAATAAACAAGACGAGAAGCGACTATGAGACAGGCATGAAGTTACAGCCTAAAACGTCATGAAGTCACTTGCACAAAAGGCGCTGAGCACGGGGATACATCTTGTCCGCACCGATATCAGCGGTATTGTACAACACTGTATATTACAAAAATGTACAACAGCCTGGAGGGCCGGAGTCAGAGATCACGCGTTGACCTTGCCTCTCAATTCCTCCCAGACGTCATCTCCTATGCTACCTTTTGTCCAGTTCATATACACTCCTTGTACACCCTGCACTTCCTGCAGGTCATCCAGGAAGCTGTTCAATTCTTTGGCCGCTCCCTCATCCTCCAACGGTACCTTTGTATCCTCATTAGGATCGTAGATGATCTCACTCTCCTCGATCTCAAGATCTAGCTCCTTGGCCATTTTCTCCGCCGTCTTGTTTGTCGATGCAGGTTCTGTGTATAGCACGACTCTCCCTTCGGCATCCTCGTCGACATCCAATACACCAGCGTCTAAAGCCGGCTCTAGTACTTCGTCGACCCCAACACCATCTTTCTTTCGTAATATTATCCGACCTTTTTTCTCAAACATGAAGGCTACCGTTGATACACTGCCACCTGCCTCTTTTACAAGGAGGCGCAGGTCGGCTAGGGTGCGCAGCTTGTTGTCTGTTTGACATTCGACTATCGTGGCGATGGAGGGCGGTAAGATCGCTTCGAGTAGGACGTTCTCGAGAGCGGCACCTGATGCGGAGAGACCTTGCCCACGGGCTATTGCGGCTTCGATAGAGGCTTTTGGCACGGCGGACTTCTTTGCGGTGGAAATTGCAAGGGCAAGGCGGGGGTTTAGGTCGGGATTTGGGCCAGCGAGCTTGACGGCGTTGGTGATGTCGCGGGTCATGAGAGACCGCTGCTTGGATTTGCCAGCATCGTTTTTGGCTTTGTCATGTTTGATAGTCGCCCACTTGCTATGTTGTGTCAGAGGCGTGCCGTTGGATTGCGAGGACGACGTACGAGTGGCCTGATTGTAGATTTGGGGTGGTGCTCAAACATCGCACTTGTTCTTGTATGCGCCAATTCCTCGAGCGTGGGACATGTCGACAGGAGCAGGCTATCGCGCTGTCCTTTGAGATAGCAGATAATACTGCACGGCGAACTGGGATAGACATGGAGATCGATATAGATTGCTATCTTCACGTGTAACAAAAGTTGGAGATGCACATCGTGCCTGCCAAGACGGGGGTCCGCAATCCCACCTGCACCCACCAGCATCTCCACACTCGACATCTGTCAAGACCAGGCCGCCCCACGATATGAACAGCCGGATGCGATAGACTGCGATAACACGACCCAAGTCGCGCGATCTCCTCATCAGACATGGCCGCAGACGAGCCAGCCGCAGACAAGGGCCCCTCCAACCCTGAACTCGACATCAAGAAGCTCCACGCGCTTCCTTCGGAGCAGCAAGACCTGTACTTGCTGACCTTCAGTTCCGACCTCGCCCGCCATGTAGCTGCCCTAGATGGCGACGGTGCCTCGGCGCATCAGATCTACATTAAGAAGGAGATATTCCAAATCATCAACCTCGCATCCCCCGCCCCCACACGCGTAATCCGAAACAACCTGGGACGAGCCATCGCTGGTATATTCGAGAAGGGAGACCGGAAGTTGCTCTTCGAGTCTATCAACGAGGCGGTCGGCATAATCAATGCGGCGGGAAAGAGCGACAAGGACGTCAGGACGAAGCACGCGGCTGTGCATTGCTTGGGCGCCATCTTCGAGGCGGCAGGAGACAGCGCTATAGGCCTATCACCACTCGCAGTCAAGTCGCTACTGGGTCTCGTCAAGTTTTCGCAAAACTACACTGGACTGCGAGCGGCAGTGTTCAAGGCTGTAGGGAAGGTCTTCAAAGGGGTTAGCTCACACGCCGATGAGCTCATCGCAAGAGATGCTTGGAAGCAGGCACGCAATACTGGTAGCGACAAGTCCTATCTCGTACAGACAGCTGTTTGCTACTGTCTCGAACAACTGCTCCGACACACACCTTTCTTCGACAACTCCAATGACTTTGACAAACTGCAAAACGTGGCTTGGAAGGCCATCGACAGTCCTTCATCGTCTGTGAGACATGCTGTTGCTTCGTGCATCAGCGCGGCCTTGGTGAAGAACTATTCTGAGAACGCGCCAGTCGACCTTCCGATCCTTGGTATCACCCGTTCATCGACTGCGCAGAAGAAGAAAAAGAAGAAACCTGGCGACGATGATGGCGATGACATGGTTATGGAGCGCTCTGAATCTCCAGCGCCTAGAAAGTCGGCTACACAGCTCTCATTCACAATAGCAAGTCTGCTCAAACTGCTTTCAACACAATACTGCCGACCTCAGGCTGGTAACCGCGCAAGAGCTGGAATCGCTGTGTGCTATATCAAGACAATCAAGGGCCTAGGCGAACAGATCATCGAGACCAAATACCCAGAGATTGCGCGAAGTTTATTCACCGATCTTCTCAGCAACAACATCATCGTCCAGAACCGCTACCGCACACTTAGTACGAGGAAGTTTGTCGCCGTCATCTTGGAATCAGTCATCGGCCGCGAAATGCTTGGAGAATCTGGTCAGCTCAATGCTGCAAGGTTCTTGGTAAATGAGATTCTGAAGGACTACCCCCAAGCGCTCAAAGAACGTCCAGAGCCGACGAAACAGACCCTCATTGGGGCTCTGAGTACCCTATCCTCGCTGTTCAACAGTTTAGGATCGGCCACCAACGTTATTGCCGACTCCTGCCGCGATGCACTCCTTCAGGTTTTGCAGCATCCCAGTTATACAGTTCAGGTAACAGCCTCAGCCTGTCTTCGCTCGTTCGTACTTGCGTGTCCTCTTCAGTTACTTCCAGCGGTCACCATATGCATGAACAGCGTCAATCGAGAGCTTGGCCTCCTTGCTGGACCAAGACAATCACCTAGGAAGTGTGTCGGTTTGGCCAACGGCCTTTCTGCCGTACTCAGCACATCTACGTCTCAACCCCTCCATGGATCTGTAGATGTAAACTCAAGAGTACTATCACAGGCCACTTCTCTGCTCAAGTCTGCAAGTAATTCAGATCTGAGAATTGGATCTACCCAAATTCAAGTTGCTTGGATCTTGATTGGAGGTTTGATGACGCTCGGTCCCAACTTTGTCAAGATACATCTGTCACAGTTACTTCTCTTGTGGAAAAACGCACTCCCCAAACCACTGAATAGAGACAACATGGTGCAAAGGAACTACCTAGAATTGTGTTTCCTGGCACATGTTCGAGAGTGCGCACTAGGTTCCATCTTGACATTTCTGGAGTTCAACAGCCGTATATTGACACTGGATGTTACCAAGAGATTAGCCGCGATGTTGCAGAACACGACCATGTTCTTGAACACTTTGCCGGCTAAGAAGACAACCGACGACATGTCTCAACGTCTTTCCCCCGCGCTTCAGCTCCACGACTTCGACCTGATGGTACGGAGGAGGGTACTCCAATGTTACACCAGACTTGTTGAACTGAGTCCGGCCAGCACCCACGAGGTCCTACTCCAGACAAATCTGCTACCTTTCGCTATTGCGTCCTTTGCAGAGCCCGACAACTACACCACGAGCTCTTTCAGTACTGCGATTGCCAGTGCAGCAGGAACTTTTGAGAGCATTTGGGAGGTGGCGGATAACCATGGCTTTGGAGTCACTGGATTGGTGCGGGGATTCGACATAAAGCCTCTTCCTGGAGAGCAAGAAACTGGTACCCATCATCACTGGCTCACGAGGCATGGATCTGAGGCCATTATTGATCGCACGCTTCTTTCGCCCATCTGCGGGGCTCGCGAACACGATTCGATATCCTTGTATATCAGGGCATCGGACGAGAACCACGAGCTCCCTGACCCACCAGCTACGGAAGTTGTCAACGCAGCACTTCAGCTATTCGCCATATGTCTCCCATTACAAACAGCTAGGATTCAGGAAAGTATCCTAGAGCAGATGACATCCTTCTTATCGGCTAGTAGCCTGCAGCGTGATATTAACAGAAAGACGGCTATGATGGTCAACATTGCATATGCTGTGTTATCTGCTTTGAAAGTTGCAGTCAAGGAAACTCGCTCGGCTCCTGGCAGCCTAAAGGGACCAGCGGTCGAAAAGGTGATGC